CCAGGTTCGAATCCCAGCACCCACATGGCAGCTAACAACTGTCCATATCTCTAGTTCCAGGGGATCTGACAGCCTCTTCTGTCTTCTGTGGGCATTGCACAACACAGGTGCACTTACCTACATGCAGGCAATACATACATACACATAAAATAAAAAAAAATAATAAAAAAGACCAAAAATAAAATAAAATAAAAAATGTCTTTTTCCGTTAAATACAATCTCTACTTTCAGACCATATTAGATAGGACAGGAATTATTATTATGGGAGTTAAATCCAGAGTCTCATACATGCCAGGCAAGTGCTTGACCACTGAGCTACACCCCTAACCCCTAACCCCTAACCCCTAATCCTAGGGAGTTTTTAAAACATGTATTTATTTGTGTGTGTGTGTGTGTATACACGCATGTGTGCACACCATAGTGTGTAGGTAGAGGTCAAAGGACAACTTTCAGGAGTCAGTTCTCCCCTTCTGTCTTGTGGGCCTTGGGGACTAAACTCAGGTCCTCAGCCTTGGTTACAAGTGCTCTTACCCACTGAGCCATCTAGTTGACTAACCCTAGAGATTTAAATCTACACATTAAACAGCAGAGAACTGTAAAAGGTATCTAATTAGTTCTGAAAGGAAGTTGGGTAGATTTGCGTGCCATTTGGAAGACTTAATGATGTAAATAAAATATGAGCTGGGTTTTGAGAAAGAGATGGAGAAATTCCATGTTCCCATTTTTTTTTCTTTTTTAAAATTTTATTATGTGCTTGAGTATATTGCCTGCATGTATATAAGTGCACCCAAGTCATGCAATGCTCATGGAGGTCAGAAGAGGGCATGGATTCCCTGGAATTGAAGTTATGGACTATTGTTAGCCAATGTGTGGATGCTGAGATTCGAACTTGGGTCTTTCACAAGAGCAACCAGTGCTCTTAACTGCTGAGCCAACTCTCCAGCCCCCACGTTCACATTTTTCCTAGGTCAGAGAATATGCTAATAAGAGGGAATGGGGAGAAGGAAACAGATCTCCATCTGTGACAGAGAGAGGATACATTTATTATTTTATTTTTGTTTCTTTTTTTTAATCTTAGGTTTTTTGAGACAGGGTCTCCTTGTAGCCCCAGATTGCCCTGACTTGCTGTGTAGACAAGGCTGGCCTCAATCTCACAGAGATCCGCCTCCCTCTGCCTCCTGAGTGCTGGAATTAAAGGTCTGTGCCACCATGCCTAGCTTACCTTTTGACCTGGAACTCACTATGTAGACCAGGCTGGCCTCGAACTCACAGAGATCCGCCTGCCTCTGCCTCCCAAGTGCTGGGATTAAAGGCGTGTGCCACCACACCTGGCCACCTTTTGATTTTTTTAAAGTTAGTATAGGTTAGTCTGTTGTCAGTTTTAGCCAAATATGACTTTGGAAACCAGAAGTCCAGTGAATAAAGTTTCTGTTCTCCATTGTGCAGACCTCCCTGGGGAGCTTTATGTATTTTACAGCCTAGATTCTGAGCCCACCTGCTTTTATGGCAAGTTCTACACCCAGAAGAAGCCTGGTTCCGTCTTTGGGTGCTTGACAAGGCCTATCTCTTTTGGTTAGGTCATGAGCATGTGACTTTCGTTGGAATCAATCAGAATCACCCACATGGGCCATGACACAGTGAACAATTCCTTCTTAGGGAAGTTGTGCTAACATCCACATCTGGTTTTGGAGCAGTAGGTGCAAGGGTCAGGGGTGCAATGCTTCACAATTTGTGTTCTGTGGTAGAAGTTTAGTTATGAGACTGGGTCCCAAATCTTCATCCCAACTGTTTGGTGGTTTTGTGAGCTATCCAATATCCTTCCAGAAAATTCCTTTTCTATTTGATTTAGCCAGGTCTGTTTTCTGTTGCTGGCGACTAAGACCAAGGAGAGTGGTCTTGCTCTGAATCACTTTCCTGGTCTCCCTCTAGGGGCCACATGCTCTTTCAATCCACCTGTCAGGGCCAGCTGCCAGGTGACTTTAGTGCAGCTTCATCACAGAAACAAAGGCAGCTGGCCTTCAGTCATTTGATTAAGAAACATGTTTGTGGGGCTGGAGAGACTGCTCAGCAGTTAAGAGCACTGACTGCTCTTGCAGAGGACCCAGGTTCAATTCCCAGCACCCACATGGTGGCTACCAACCGTCCTTAACTCCCGTTCCAGGGGAATCCGAAGCTCTCTCTGACCCGTGCATGGCATTGCACGACACGGGTACACTTACATACACGCAGGCAATACACTCATACACATAAAAATAATAAAGAAAATATTTTTTTAAAAAAGATGGGGCTGGAGAGGTGGCTCAGCAGTTATGAAAACTGGTTGTTCTTGCAGAAGACCCAGGTTTGAATCCCAGCACCCACATGGCAGTTAACAACTCCAGTTCCAGGGGATCTGACGGCCTCTTTTGTCCTCCTCGGGCATTGCACAACACGGGTGCACCTACCTACATGCAGGCAATACACACATACACATAAAACAAAAATGATAAAATATTTTTTAAAAAGGTCAGATAGCTTTTGTATTTATGTGGTAGAGATGGGATTCAAACTCAGTCTACCAGGGCCAAAGTCACTTTCTACTCTACTGGAAACTTCCTTGGAGCAAAGTAGGGGCACATAGTTTTAAGTCTTTCTGGAGGTTCTGGAAAAGACAGATGTCCCTGAGCAGAGTCTTGTGAACAGCTGAGGTTCTGGCCCTGCCCCCTATATTCCAACAGAGGCCCTAGTGACCATGTGGAGTTCTATGGGTGCTGGGCATCCCTCACATCCCAATTCCTGACCAGAAGGACTGACAGAGCACATGCTGGGGAAGAATGGATAAGCACAGTGAGTGGGGTTTGAGGAAGGATGGGGATTAAGACAGGACCTCCTGACCCAGCTTGGACAAAGATCCTAGAAAAATCAAGCCGTTTCTCAGTTATTCATCCATGTAGCTGCAAGCCCTCTACTTTCTCCTTCCTGAATATTCTTGACATCATCTTTTCCCTTATCTTCACTTTTTCTTGTTCAAATCTGTGTCTTCTCTGGCCTGGATATAATGACCTTTTTAGGGATGGGGGTTTGAGACAGGAACTCAGATTGTAGCCCAGGCTGACCTTGAGCTAACTATGTAGCACAAACTGCTGGCCTGGAACTCTCAGCAATCCTCTTGCCTCAGCCTCTCCAGTGCTGAGATTACTGGCATGAGCCACTATCCAGCTTGTAATGATTCTTATGTAGGTCCTCTCAGTTCTGTTGGAGGGAATGTTCTACAACACAAGCCTGAGCAGGTCTTTCCATGAGAATGCTCATGTCTTCCCATCACTGACAGATAAACAGCTCCAAATCATGACCTCATTTTCCAAACCCATTCCCTATCTCCTATCTTCCCAAAATGTCCCCAGGACGCTTTTTTAGCTGTGTTTTAGGCCTGGCCTTTGGCAACCAGAGTCTCCTTCATTTTTTCTTAAATAAAAGTGTAGTGAACCCTGAGTCTCTACCTGCAGCAATACCAAGAATTGGAGGAACTTTTGAACCAACTTCTCTATAAAGGTTTCTAATATATATTTAAAAATATTTCATTATTTTTATTTTTTATGTGTATGAGTATATTGTCTGCATGTATTTAAGTGCACCCATGTTGTGCAATGTCCATGGAGGTCAGAAGAGAGTGTCAGGTCCCCTGGAACTGGAGTTAAGGACAGTTGTTAGCAGCTATGTGGGTGTTGGGAACCAAACCCCTGTCCTCTGCAAGAGCAGCCAGTGCTCTTAACTGCTGAGTCATTTCTCCAGCCCCCAGGTTTCCAATATTTTCCTCCTCCTCCTCCTCCTCCTCCTCCTTCTTCTTTTCTTCTTTTCTTCTTTTCTTCTTTTTGGTATTTTTCAGACAGAGTCTCCCTGTAGCCCAAGCTGGCCTGGAACTTACTAGCCTCAAATTCCCAGAGATCTGCCTGCCTCTGCCTCTGAGTGCTGGGATTAAAGGCATGCATCACCACACCTGGCTGTTTCCAATATTTTTGGTCACATTCAGAGATGCCTCCACGTCCCATACCTTTGCCTATGGAACAGGTGTGAAGATGAAGGGACACCATGTATGAAGAGAGTTGAACATACGGACTCATGTTCTTGGAGCCCATATTAGCTGCTTTTCTCAGACTGTGAAAAAATATCTAACATAAGCAACTTAAGGAAGGAAAGGTTTATTCTGGCTCACAGTTTGAGGGTGCAATCCATCATGGTGGGGAAAGTGGCAGCAGGAGTGTGAGGCAGCTGCTCACATTGCATCTGCAGTCAGGAAGCAGAGAGATGAATGCAGGTGCTCACCTCAATTTCTCCTTTTCATTCAGTCCAGGACCGCAGCCCATGGGATGGTGTCACCCACATTCAGGGTAGGTCTTCCCACCTCAGTTAAACCAATCTAGAAACTCCCCCACACACACTCCCAGAGATTTATCTCCTAGGAGCTTCTAGATCCTGTCAAGTTGACAGAATTAACCATCACAGTGTCCAACACATACAAGCCATGTAACGGTATCATTCTGCTTAGTCCCCAGCCTGGTGAACACATGGATGGGGGTCTACAGAAATCATCCTTGATCTTTCCAGTGCAAACCCCAAAGCCCCCTCCCCTTCTTTGCATTTTAAATCTAGCTGTCCAGAGGGGGCTGCCTAGGTGCTAGGTGAATGTCTGCTTGAGGGAGTGATGGACGATTTCCAAAGGAGACCTGCTTAGTTTCCACTCAGCCCAGGACCATGCTGTCAGCCCATGGATACTGCTTGAAGTCGTGGCATCTGTGTGCTGAGTAAGGGCTCCAGCAAAAAGGGGCAGTGGTAACTGAAATCCACTTGCAATTGGCCAAGCCTGGGAGGAAGAGGCACCTTTTCATAACTGGTCCACTCCGATGGCAGTTTTTTCCTAACTGGTGGCTTATGCAGAAGGACCTTTTTCGGTTTAGTCCGCCCAAGGGGGAGCCTTTTCTAATCATACTGACAACTCTATGCCCACCTGCCTATCCACCCTGATGCTGGGCTTCTAGTCAAGAGGAAAGAAATCTTTATTATTATTAATATTATTATTATTTTATGTGTATGCATGTATTGTCTGCATGTAAGTGCATCCGTGTCCTGTAATGCCCACGGAGGACAGAAGAGGCCGTTAGATCCCCTGGGACTGGAGTTACAGACAGTTGTTAGCGGCCATGTGGGTACTGGGATTAGAACCCGGGTCTTCTGCAAGAAAAGCCAGTGTTCTTAACTGCTGAGCCATCTCTCAGCCCCAGGAAATCTTTCTTAATTAGAAAACAAAACATAAGCAACCACCTGTTGAAATGGCAATCGATGTTTATTAACGGTCTACACAGAGATCAGATAGCCCTCCTCCCTCCTGTGCACTGTACACAGACGCTGTCTGGAGTCAGCCTCACAACCACCCTTGAGGTAGGTACTGTTTTCCCTCACTTCATAGAGACTAGGGAAACGCAGCTTGATGGAAGCGGGGTGACGTGCTCGGAATTCCTAGCACGAGAAGTGCTGGAGTACCGACAATCCGCAGCAGCCCTTTGGCGGGGATCTGCAGTACTCTGTGCGGCTGTCCTGCGCATCCCTTTAGGCACCTGCAGCTGCCGGGGCAGCGGGGCACTGACCTCCTCCCCTCCCTCAGGCGTGAAGACCCCCTTGTGGAGGAAGGACGTGGAGGAGCCCAGAGCCGAGGAGGAGGGGTCGGAGGAAGCGAAGGAGGCGTCGGAGAAGGAGGAAGAGGAGGAGGAGGAGGAAGAGGAGAGGTCGGTGGCAGAGAGCGAGAGCCGGACGGAGGCAGCAGACCGCGAGGAGCGCTCGGGGCGCTCGGTGTCCTACAGTCCGCTGCGCCAGGAGTCCAGCACCCAGCAGGTGGCGCTGCTGCGGCGCGCGGACAGCGGCTTCTGGGGCTGGCTCAGCCCGTTTGCGCTGCTGGGTGGCCTGGCGACTCCCGCCGACAGGTGAGGCGCGCGATCGGGTGCGGGCTGCTAGGGAGGAGGGTCACCAGGACCCTGAGCGCTCGGGTCCCCCGTCCGCAGGAAGCGGAGCGCCCCGGAGGAGCCGTGCGTGTTGGAGACGCGGCGGCGGCCACCGCGCCGCGGAGGCTGTGCGCGTTGCGAGATCCTTTTTTGCAAGAAATGCAAGAGCCTGCACAGCCATCCGACCTACGTGGAGCACTGTGTCCTGGAGCATCCTGATCTGGGTAAGGAGGAGGCCTCCGGGGGGCTCTGAGCGTACCCACTCCCAGCCTTTGCGTCCTGCATGGTTGCCTGGCTCCAAAAGCCTCTCACCCTTAGAGCTTCCCTCCGGTGAGACATTGCCCTGTTCCAGCTGTGGCGGAAGTTCGAGCACAACCCACAGAGACTAGAGTCGCACTACTCCCAGAGTGCTTGCAGAGCTCCGCCCCACACAGTACCCAGCACCTACCGCACTCCTGACCCATGCCTCGACACAGCCTCACTTGCATCTCTTTCAGGTCTTTCCCACCAGGCAAGCAGAGGCAACTCCTATAGAAAATAGCCTCGAGGTTTCTTTTGCTCGCTAAGAAGCTGCCCCTTTCTCTCTTACCACTCAATAAAGTCTCTAATCAGAGTCAGTGCCAGGAGGTGGGGTGGAGTCACAAAGATGGGAGCCTCCTTCTTCTCCCCTGGGTACAAGCTAGAGAGCAAGGGGTGGGCAGCGAGGCCTCCTCGGCGGCCTTCTTAGGATAGGGCAGCACAAAGCACTTGCATCCAAAGACAGTCAAAGGCCATTCTGTCCACTGTACAGAGAAGAAAGGAGGGCAAAGGGCCAGCAATGTCTCTGAGGAACTGAGGGCCGCTCCCCTGCCAGATCGTTCTTCCCCTCCCTTGGAGCTGGCTCATGTTGGTCACTATATGTGCAGAGGAACTGGCAGACTGAGGTGGGTGGTAGGGAGGGCTAGAGATCCAGATGCTAACATTAATACTGAGACCAGCTGAGGGAGAAGGTGGAGGCTGGGGAGCTGGTTCCTTCTCCAGGAATCCCAGCTATTCTTGGCCAGACAGCTGGAGTTATGGAATGCTGCTGCTGCTGTGTGTGTGTGGCCTGGAGAATGGGGCCATTGTGAGCAGCCAGGCCTATCCAACCTGCAAAGCACTGTGGAGGCTGTATCCCCAGCATCAGGCAGATCCCTAGAGATCCTCTGCCATCTCCCCACTGCCCAAGGGCTCTCCATCTGAGAGGCAAAGGGGATGAGGATATTTTGCTTTTTGAAGAGAGGTGCCCTTCTCCCCCATGACAACCATACACAGCTGGCTGTCCCTGGGTTGCATATATGAACATAGTCCCTGTGTCCCTAGCACCCAGGGTGCTTTCACTGTGAAGAGTGGAGAACCTGTCCTAGGGAGGCTGCTGCCACCTCTAGGCTGACCAGCTGGTGTGCCTCTTTATTACTACCCCAGGTCCAGGAGGCCTATATCAGCCTTCCTTCTGCTCTTCAACCTGACAGGGCAAAAGGCCCCTGCATTGGAGACCCTTAGGCCTTCACCTCATCCAAACTTCCTGGGGGAGGACAGGTGAAGCCTCTGATGAAATAAAACACGATTTCCCAAGAACTGAGCCAAAAGCCCTGCGGAGATGGGACAGTCTTGCAAAACAGCCCCCAGCCTCTCTGTTGAGTTCTGAATCCTCCCTGAGATCCCAGCACTATGGCCTACCTGAGGGCACGCACCTTCAGTAGAACTGCGAGCCCCCAAGGCTTGGGAAGAAGAGGTCCTTGGGAGAAAGGGCCGTGCTTCTCCTTGGAGTGATCCTAGCCCTCACTTCCATGTTGTGAGAACAGCACAGAGCCTGTGTGCCATGTTCTCCAGGGAACATATACAAACATTTCCTGCAGGGGTTTGTACTCCACAGGTATTCCTGCAGGGAGGTTCAGGGGATTCCTAGACAGGCTCCACTGCCTCAGGCAGGGGCATCGGCGCTTCATTCTGTGATAGGGAGACTTCAGAACAGAGCACCCCCTGAGTTGGCATACCAACAGCCCATCCAGGGCAGTTCGGTGGCCCAGCGGCCCGAGCTGGTCACCCGAAGTTTGGTTTGATCCAGGCGCCAATAGTGGTCATCTCTAAAGAAGATGATGGAGCCATCCGGCCTTGGCAGGGCGCCACTGACCTCCTCAGGGACGCCGGCCCAGTCCCGAAGACTTCGGGGGTAGTAGGGTTCCACTTGCAACCCACTTCGCGCCAGCACATAGTAACGGGCACCTTTGAAGAGGACAAGGTGGCGCAGAGGGGGGAAGAAAAGAGCAGCATCCGGGTGTCTTGGCAGGCCACCTGCCCTGCATAGCTGTGAGAACCCCCACACTGGCTTGTTGCCCCAGAACCTCCAACATCGACTACCTGTAGGGCATTGAGAGAGCCAGGGTGAGCTGGAGGCTCTCTCTCATTAGCTCTCCACCCCACCTCTGCCCTGACCCCTACTTCCAGTTAGTAGTAGAGCCAAAGTGAAGTACTCTATGAATTAGTTATGCATCATAGGAGGAACCTGTTATGCTCTAGACTCCTAGTAGGTGCCAGCAGAGGGTAGACAATGCTGACCCTATCTACCCCAGACTGGGGAGGGGAAGGGAAGATGTTGGCAATGGAGGGAGGGCAGGGTCCCTCCCTGGGCGAGGGATGGAAGACTGAGAAGACTTAAAATGGTCTTCACTATCATGACTACTAATAATTCTGCGAGAGCAAGGATGTTTGCTTTGTTCACTGCTGTATCCTCAATCCCCCCACACACAACACACTATGTCTGGGATATACAAGGTACTCAGTACTGGATGAGGGAATGGATGCTTTTCACCACAGTATTACCATGTATCCTATAATGTGCTGTACATGCTGGTCATTTTTGTCCTTTATCCTCCTTTCTCATCAAACCTGAGTATTATTTTCCCCATTCAAGAAATGCAAGCTCCAAAAGTTAAGTGATATCTCAACCTCACATGGCCAGGATTCCATAGCAGACAATCCCTGGTCTTTCTGCTGAACTGCAGACTCAACAGCAATCCTTGGTTTCCCCCGAGAACCTTCTCTGAAATGCTCACTGGGACACTGGGACACCTGCTGCTCCCAACTCCATCCCTGAAAGGAATCTTCTGGCAGTCTTCCCTGGGCCATGGGTTCAATTGGAGTAGACTGTACCCAGATATGCTGTCTGAGGCCCTCCCCTCTTTTGGACTTGGGTAGGACACCTCCCTCTTCTATATCTAACCTCGCTGTCTCAGAGCTGATACCTTTGAAGAAGTAGAAATCTCCATCTTCCAGTGACACTGCAGCAGCCTCAATGTTGGGGGGCAGCCCTGCCCACCTTTTCTGTATTGGGTGGGGCTCTGAAACATTGCCATCAGCTGTCACCTCCCAGAACTGGCTCCCTTTGAAGATGTACAGTCTCGATTGCCCATCTGCCAGGAGACAAGAGATTTGAGGAAAGACCATTGACCTGCTGCCTTTCAGTGAAGGTGCTGCCCTAGATCCCGTTTCCCAGACAGGAGGAGGGTAGGGCATGCAAGGTGGGCAGAGGGAAGCAGAGGTCTTTGCTTAGCCTGAGGAAAGTATGTGGTTTGGGATTTTGACACCACACTTTGTTCTACAGCTTTGGAGACCCCTGGAGATGTGGGGTAGAGAAGAAAGAAGCCAGGCATGGGTGGGTGGGATCATCTTACCCATGGTGATGGCATCAAAGGAAGAGTGGCAGTATTTAGGACCCTTGGTTTCAGGGCGTCTGCTCTGGGAGTTGTGGGGGTTCCAGGCCTCAAAGTCAGTGAATAGTTTTCCTGGGAGCTGAGCAGCCACTGATCGTCCCAGGGGCTTCCCTTATGGCCAAAGAAGAAAAAGAGCAGACACGGGTGGGGGCATATAGAAGGCTCAAGACGCCCTCCTCTGCACATCCCATGTTGATCGCCCGTGAAGGTTGGGGAAGGACTGGAGAAGGGTAAGAGTAGTTCTGGTTGTTGGTATTATCCAAGAGAGCACTAAATGCAGCCAACAGCCTAGGAAAGAAGCACCTACTGAGACAGCCTTGGAATGGCATACCGAGCAAAGGGCTTGAAGTTAGGAAGGAAGGGTACCAGAGCAACACGGGTGACATGCAGATAGGTTCAGGGCTCCAGACTGTGATCAGTACAGAAATTCTAATAATTGCATAACTATCCTTCACTAATGAGGGGAGTAAGGCATTCCAAGAAGCTTAAAATTGGCCACTTGCTTTTAAATCCTAATCTGCAATTTCCTAGCTGTGTGATCTTGGGCAAATTATCTAGCCTCTCTAAAGCCCATTCTCCTGATCTGTAGACAAGACCATGTTAGGTCCTGTGGTTACAGTGCCTGGCTTGTGGTAGATGTTTAAGCAATAGCTACAAAGCATCAGACTCCCTAGCTCAACACGTCTGTGGGGAAAACAAGGCTTCAAAGATCTCTTTCCATAGACGGGGAAGCCGAGGGCTCTCTGAGGAAGAAACCCTTTTATCCGAGAGCAGCTGCTGATCAGGATCAAGGTGACTTGAGCCCACGTCCCGGGCCCTGAGACCTTGATGAAGGCAGCCCCCACACATAGAGAAGGCCTGGCCGGGGTGGGGGGTGGGGGCCACTGGCCGCCTAACTTGGCCTAGCCTCCCTTGGGACAATGATCCTGTGGAGGTTCAAGCTGGGGATGCAGGATCAGAGTCATGGTATGGAGAAGCTGGTGGAGAACAAGTGGAGCTGGAGGTAGTAGGGGTGAGGGTTTGGCGGTCTGGGTGGCGAACAGGTGAACTATTTGGGTCTGGATTATGGGGTACGTATATACTTTGAGAAGAGCTGCGAAGGCCTGGGTTTGGCACAAATTAGGGAACTGGACCACAAGGGAAATGGTGGGGATCGGAGTTGCTTGGGGTGATGGAGAATTGTGAACCACTGACTGGGGAAAAGCAGAGCCTGAGGATTTTCAGATTTCAAGGGAGCCTGGGGCTATAGGAAGGACCGAAGGCGAAGAGGCGAGATCCTTGCATCCGGGACAGGGGATCTATGTGAGGAGTTAGAGGAGGACTGGGGTCCGTGGGTCAAGGGGTGCTCCAGTCGCGGGCTTGGGGCTCACCATACAGGCTCTGCACCGCCAGCACGTCGTCCCAGCTAAGCAAGGCGTCGCGGCCCAGCCTCTTGTAGTAGGGCGCCATGAGCGCTCTCGGAGCAGGCGAGTGCGTGAGGCCGAGGGTGTGGCCGATCTCGTGCGCCAGCACCACGAACAGGTTGCGTCCACGCCGTCGGCTCAGGGACCAACGCTCCTCTAGGTCGAAATGCGCTTCGCCCCGGCGGGGCAGGAAAGCGTGCGCCAGGGCGCCCCCTGCAGGCGGTACGGAGGTCAGGGCCAGCAGCTACACCCGCCCGCAGGCACCGCCCTCCCCAGGCAAAAGCTGCTGGGTGGGGGAGGGGTGTGTGTGTAGGGGGTTGTCATCTAATTTCCTTCATAGTCGAGTCTGATGCAGGAGTGTGGGCAGGTGAGCAGATGACTGAGCACTGGACTCAAGAGGGAGTATGCTATAGATCCAGCATGGGGCCAAACTTCTTGGGCTCCAAAACTAGTTTTACCATTTGTGAGCTGTGACCTTGGCAGGCAGCTTAACCTCCTAGTGTCTTAGCGTCTCTAACCTGAAAATGGAATGGTGACATGAGCTTCTTCCTCCAAGTGTGTGTGGTGAAGCATGTGTATCAGACCTGATTTTTAGAACAATGCCTCACACATATGTGCTACATAAGAACTATTAATATTTCCAAAAGGATCAGGGGATAGGAATAGTGGTTACCCCTGGGTACCAGGATGATAGGGCTGTAGTTTCCTGACCGGGTGTATTTTGTGTTATGTTCAGGAGTCTGTACACTGACCACAGTGCACTTCTATGGGTATGCACATTTTCTTTAAGAAAATCTTTTTAAATATTTTTTTAAGCCAGGCGTGATGACACATGCCTTTAATACCAGCACTCGGGAGGCAAAGGCAAGCGAATCTCTGTGAGTTTGAGGCCAGCCTGGTCTACATAGTGAGTTCCAGGCTAGCTGGGGCTGCAGGGAGACCCTGTCTTAAAAAGACAAAAAAAATTTTTTTAAATATTTTATTTATTTTGTGTGTATGAGTATATTGCCTGCATGTGTGTAAGTGCACCCATGTCACACAATGCCTACAGAGACCAGAAGTGGGCATAGGATCCCCTGGAACTGGAGTTATGGACAGTTGTTAGCTGTCATGTGGGTGCTGGGATTCGAACCCGTCTCTTCTGCAAGAACAGCCAATGTTCTTAACCTCTAAGTCATCTCTCCAGCCCCTTTAAAAATATTTTATTATTATTTTTTTTAACTTTTTTTTTGGTCTTTTTGAGACAGGGTCTCCCTGTAGCCCTAGTGGGCCTGGATTCGCTATGGAGACCAGGTTCGCCTTGAACTCACAGAGATCTGCCTGCCTCTGCCTCCCGAGTGCTGGGATTAAAGGTGTGCGTCACCACGCCCAGCTTATTTATTATTTTTATTATGTGTATGAATGTATTGCCTGCACTTGTGTAAGTGCATCTGTGTTGTGCAATGCCCACGGAGGTCAGAAGAGCTGCCTGAGGAACTGTAGCCTGAGGAGAACTGCCAAAGTTCTGATGTCCAGCCCAGTGCTGTCACAGTACTGGTCTCTGTCTGGATACAGAAATGAATATATCACATATGTGACATGGGGAACACAAGCTACATGCAAACCCATGGCTGTGCTCCATGTGTGTGCTGACAAGGCCTGAGTTTCTTTCAGCTCCAACCTGAGTCCTGGCAGCAGGGTCTGGTAAGGGCTTTGTTGTAGGTGGGCTTACTGGAAAGGATGACTGTGCAAGGGAGTTAGGCGCCCAAGTTCCCAAGCCACCCAGGGCTGAAGTTCCCATCCTGAAGGTCAGGTTTCCTTCCCTAACTAGGAGAGGAGGCACACAAATAGCCCAGTCTCCTAGTCTCTCTCCTGGCAGGTGTCCTTCCTGCCCTGTGGAGAGAGGCTTTATGGCAGCACCTGGGCCATCAAAGGCATTGCCCAGTCCATCATTGTGGTCTCCTTGGAAGAAGGTGAGGCGGATGTCCGCAGGGCTTGTGGCTGGGGCCTCCCAGAACTCCAGTCCTGAAACATTGCTCCACAACTGGAAGGCAGCACGCACGGCCCCTCGAACAGCTGACTCAGGCAGGTGCTCAGGCCAGTTCACCAGGCGGTAGGAGAGGTGCTGCTTGTACCACTTGTTACCTGCCACCAAGGAAGGCCATGTCAGTCCTGCCTGCTGTTCGGCTGGTTCCCACAGGATCTGTATGATGTGGGGTAGGCCCTGTCCTGGGGAGCCCCTAGCCTGGTAGGGGAGACACAGCCCTTGCGTTGGGCAGCTTCCCCATTTGACATGAGAGAGTCTCTGTTGAAGGGAGCCCTCACTCTGGACTACTCTTGCTCCAAAGAGTCCTCAGTCTAGTGGTTTGGCCAGGGAGGTTCTATCTGATGACAAAGATAGCATCTACCCAGGAAAAGCCCCCCACTTGAAGGATCGGTCTAAACCTGAGATCTGAGCGGGTCTTGTTCTTTCTTCCTCACAGCCTGGGATGGCCTGAAAAAGCAAACCCAAGGCCCAGCCTCAGTGTCTGGATGAAGAAGCAGTGCGGCCACTGAGGCCACTGTGCCTGCCCCAGGCATTCCCTCCATCCTCACAGTCTCCTGACACTCCCAGAGACTCCACTCTGCACTGGTCATAGCCTAGGGCCTATGGCTGGCCCGCAACCATAAGACCCATCTAACCAAGATCCTTTCCTGCCCTCTTGACTTCCTCTCCACTTCCTCGGGGACTCTGGAAAGTTCTGAGGTGAAGACAAATAAGAACAAAGGGTGTGTTTTGTCACAGACCCAGGAAAAGTTTTCCATCTCTTCTTAGTTTCTTTGCCTTTGCCTTAAACCTCAGTCCCTCCCAGAGGGCTGGGATTCCAGCCTCTGCCCTAGCCCCCAGTCATTGAATTGGATCCATCTGTGGTTTTCTGTACACCCAGGAGCAGGGTAACTAGAAAGTCTGATTTGTGAGTTTCTTGGGGACTATTTCTGAGCCCTGCAGAAAGATTCTGAAAGGCTTGTAGCTTGCAGGCAGGACCTCTAGGCCCTGAGTCAGAGGTTAACTGTGACCCAGGGGAAAGGGTCTGTACACAGCTGCAGAATGAGAGAGAAATTGGGTTCAGTGTTCCTTCTATGGTATCACACAGATAAGCAAGCCCCTTTGCTAAGATGCCAGGCCTGTAAATCTGCCTGAACATCACTTGATTGGGTCAAAACAGACTTGGCAAGGGCTGAGATTCCCCAGATGAAAGGGAGGGTCATAGGGAGCAGAGGAGCTAAGCTCTCTGGCTCTTCCCATCCATGGAAGTGGGGGTGGGGTGTGTCCCCTTTCCTATCCCATCATCCCCACTCCATTCAAGGCAATGAACCTCCTTGGGCATGTTTGGCCTGGCGGTCACCCAACCACAGCCTCTCAGCCAGTAACCAGCCCTCAGGGAGTGAAAAGAGAATTATTTGAGGAAGGGAGGGGGGACAGGGAAGGCCCAGGCAAAGCCTATGGTCTACTGATGCTTGATGACGATGGGCCATTCTGTACTGAGAACATTCTGCTACTCCTGTAAGTCTTCACTGGGCACAGACCACGCCCTGCTGTGGGTGGCTGACTCTCAGACTCTTCTTTCCCCTACAGACCTTTAGTCCTCTGGGAAATGGTGTGAGATGGCTCCTTCTGCAGTTAGGACATGTCACTCCATAGGCAGGAAAGAGGGAGGGTGGGTAATTCATTTTAGGGAGCCAGTGAAAGGGACATGGCTCAAGAAAAAAATCCAAGCAAGCGCTTGGGGGAAGGGTAGAGAGGGTATATAGAAACAGGAATTGAAAAAAAATAATGACTGTTTTCCTTCAGAGGGACAGGGTCTGGAGTCCCTGTTGTGCCTGCCAGGAAGGAAGGAACTGCCTCTGTGTGGGGGGAGGGGCAGTCTTAGTCCTCTCCCCGTCCTCCATCTTGGCTCTCCTTTTAGGCCATATCCCCAATTCCTGCCTAGACAGGGCTGCTCTTCATAGTAACCACAGACCTCAGTAGTACCTGGCACTGATCTCCATGCCCTTGCTTCAAAGTCCCAAAGGGAAGAAGGAAGGAAAGGAGCTAGAGAGGGAAGGGACAGAAGAGCTAGAAGTTTGGTCTGGGAAGAACCATAAAGTCCTAACACCTAGTAGGTAACTGAAACTGTACAAAGAACAAGGGCTGAAATCCTAGTACCTGCACTTCTACAATTACAGAAATGGTGGAATCTCTCTGAGCTTCAGGTTCCCCTCCCATACAGGGGGGTTGGTAAGGCCTAGTTATGGTAATGTTGTAGACGCCAGTGGGATAGCAAGGTGAACCTGCTTTAAGTGTGGTGGGGGCTCAGAAAACATCCATTCCCTTCTCCTTCCTTTTGAAACCCACATGCATCTCCTTGTTGCCCAACCCTGAAGGTTCAGGGGAATGAAAAATCAGTCTGACAGGCATAGCAAGTACTTGGAATGAGGTTGCCAGATTCAGCAAATACAAGGACAGGATACTCAGTAAAATTTGAATAAGAAAATATAAATACAATTATTTGTTGTTCATCTGAAGTTCAGATTTAACTAGGCCTCCTGCATTTTATCTGGCAGTCAGGTGCTCCAGCAGGGATGATTCATTAGATGCTGCCCTGCAGCAGGAGAAGGTGAAACAGGCAGAGGAAGCATCCACAGAGTACAGGCTCATGTGTAGTAGCCAAGGCTGTTTCTGGGACTGCTCCACCTTCCACCGCATTCTCACAGGCCCCTTGCACCTAATCATTGAAGATGGACCTCCTTTGCAATTGAGAATGTCTGACTCCTATATGAAGGAGGATGAAGGAGCAGAATTTCTGTGAGTTAAGTGACATGATCTGGTCACACACCTGATAACTGAACCTAGGGCCTTGGGACCCAGGGATGGTTTTCACTGTATTCTGGCCTACTTCACTCTTCTCCTCTGCTGCCTAGAAACATGATGGGATGCAGACATTTTGACACCAAGGACATCTTGACCCCAGAGCCAGGACCCGGTCATGACTATGAATGAATGAATATGGTCATTCAGAACAGGGCACTCAGGGTGGACACACATGTAGACGCAGCAGAAGTAGACTAGCACATGCCTGGAAACAACCACTCTGCAACTGCCCATGATTTCCTAATAGATTAGCTAAGAAATGAAAACAAATTTGGTGCCTTTGTTCTTGTTCATAATGAATGCTATCAGTAAAAAGCAGCACAGTTAAAAGTGGCAATAGTCCAATGTAAAAACAGTAAAATTAATTATGACGAAAACCTGACCGAAAGGCCTCATTTCGTAAGCAATCTTGAAAAGTTGCCAAAGAAAATTTGACTTCATCAAAGCAATCATGATACTAAAATGACACATAATAAAACTTATTTGTAGAAAATTGACAGAAGAATCAAATATTTATAAACCTTAGATTGGTACCATTTGACCCTGAAATATTTGGTTGCGGAAAAAAGAGGAGATAGAAAGGTGGAGAAGAAAGAGAAGGGGAAAGGAGAGAAGGAGGAGAAAGGTGGGGGAGCACTGGCCCAGCAGCTCAGTGGCAGAGCTCAAGGCCCTGGGTTCTATCCCCAGCACTGGAACAAAAAGATAGAGGTGGGGGAAGGGAGCAGAGGAGAAGGAAGGAGCCAAAAGGAAAAATCCCAACAGCAAACTAGTGTACAGTGGTTATGATGAAATGTTTGGTGTAGGCAGATGCTTAAACAGAAAGCAGATTAGTGGTCACCAGGGCTTGCAGCAGGGACCATGGGACTGACGACTAATGGACCTGAGGTTTCTTTGGAGGGTAATGGAAATGTTCTGGAAGTAGGAATTAGTTTGTGGTAATGGTTGTACAATACTTCAAGTATACTAAAACCCACTGAATTGGATACTTTAAACAGGTGAATTGCATGGTACGTGAATTTCATCTCAATAAAGCTGTTAAAAATGTACTATGAAGGCTGGGTGTGATGGTGCACACCTTTGATCTCAGCACTCAGGAGGTAGAGGCAGGTGGATCTCTATGAGTTCATCCTGGTCTACATAGGGAGTTCCAGGCCTGCCAGGGTTACATAGTGAGAGATTCAGTCTCAAAAGAAAAAAAAAAATGTGCTCTGAAAGTAAAACTAATCAATGCATCACATTTTGGTTGAATAACTATGAAAAAGAATTGATTCTTATGAAAACAACTTCAATAAAAGATAAATTATTGGCAACAGTTTAACTGCCCTGCACAGAAAGTGGATCAAGGAATTAAGTGCTCTTGGTAGGGGGTTTGATCTGTACAATGAAAATTCATCAATGCAGGTACAATTCTGAGCTAAATGTTTGTATTCATGATTATGGTCCTTGAGTCAAAAGATCCACCCTTTCTCTGCCCTAGGGAAGAGAGACTGTTCATAGAGTCCAGTCCCAGCTCAGCCACTCTTCTGGTCACGGACTTTTGGACACTGGGGAATCTCAACCCTGTTGGGTTTTAACAGCACTCACCTTGCTTTGCAAAGCGTTTCTTACGCCTCATTTTGGCCTGCTGTCTAGCAAACAGGGCACCGGTTCTCTCTGCCCAAGTTGCATGGCTGTCAGTATCTGCCACCCCACAGCGGGGACGTGTCATCTGACGCAGTGTGGCCTGGTCCAACACGCCACTGATAGGCAGTTGGGACACCCACTGGAACTCTCTGCCAGGAGGAATTGAGAGAAACGACCACAGGGGGATGGACGGTGGTAGGAGAAAGTTGGAGCTTTGCACCCTGCACCCCCAGGCCCTCCACATCCCTCCATCCTACCTGATGGCATTGCTGAACCGAGTGGAAGCGGGAGCTTTGGAAGCCTGCTCATCAAGGTATCCATACTTCTCCAGGAATGCCTGCGGGAGAGGAACATCAGCTCTTCCATTATGCAGCATCCCCAAGAGGGTTCATAAAATAACAAAAGAAGCACTGGGATCAAAGTCTAAAGGCTACCACTGACAAGCTGGATGGGCTCAAGCAAGTCACTCAATATGTCTGATCATTTGCCTTTCTTATCATCTTTTGCCATTGTCAGAGGTCTAGCAGGGCACGCTGGAGACTTATGGGCTCTGGAGGCAGGCTAGCTTGGGTCTGAATTCTAGTTCTCAAGTTATTTCTGTAACCCACAGGTTTCTCAATTATGAAGCAGACAACTATTAAGTACTAACTCTTTTTATGAGAATCACAAAAGCACTTAACACAGTGTCTGTCACATAGGAGGGACTCCACACAGAGTAGCTGTTACATGTTATGCAAATATACACCATCCATATTCATTAAATTTGCTTTGAAACATCTAAGCTCTCTGGCAAACTCTGGGGTAAGAGCTGATCAGGTGCTGGCTCTGTCATACCTAGACTGGAAATTATCCCTCTAATTTTAGTTTCTTAATAATATCCTCCCCCAAATGCAAATATATTTAAAGCCCTGTGACAACAAATACACTTACCATCAACCTTATAACTGATATAAAAATCTGACTTTCCAGAGATGCATATTTTGTATTAGAAATATGTAACTTCCTCTTGATTCATCTATTTGTTTTTAAAATATTTAATTTATTGTTTTATTTATTCATTTATTTATTATCTTTTTGAGACAGGGTTTCCCTGTAAACCCAGCTGGCCTGGAACTCTCTATGTAGACCAGGCTGGCCTTGAACCCTCAGATTCACCTGCCTCTGTCTCCTAAGTGCTGGCATTAAAGGCATGAACCGCCACATCCGGATATTGTTTTTATTTTATTTGTATGAGTATATTGCTTCTATGTATATAAATGCACCCGTGTCATGCAATGCCTGTGGAGGTCAGAAGAGGGCATCAAATCCCCTAGAACTGGAGTTACAGACAATTGTTAGCTACCGTGTGGGTGCTGGGAATTGAACCCTGGTCTCTGCAAAAGCAGTCAGTGCTTTTGACCTTTGAGCCATCTCTCTAGCCCCTAATTCATTCGTTTGTTAATTCACACAATGCACTAGGTTCTTTGCTAGGTGCTATGATAAGATGAAGCAGCTTACATACTGATGGATAGAGGCAGACAGTAAAACTACAGGTAACAAACAAAGGAGAGAAACAGAAGCCATGATGTGATCAAGACTTAGAATCTTGCCGGGCGTGGTGGTGCACACCTTTAATCCCAGCACTTGGGAGGCAGAGGCAGGCAGATCTTTGTGAGTTCGAGGCCAGCCCCGGTCTACATAGTGAGTTCCAGGACAGCTGGGGCTATAGGGAGACCCTGTGTCAAACAGACCAAAAAAAAAAAAAAAAGGCTTAGAATCTTTACGGTACAGGGTCAAGGAAAGACCCCCCCGAGGAGACAATATTTGACCTAAAGAATGAGACACAGCCAGCCTATGCAATAAGATGGGAAAGGGTATCCATACCATGCAGAGGAAACAGCAAGTGCAACCCCCCTGAGGTAGGAATGACGTTGACCTGTTTAAGGAACAGAAGGAAGCACAGTAAGTGTAAAGAATCAGGGCTTGAGATGAAGTCAAAGACAGAGCTGTCCGCCAGGGAAGGCCACACAGGTGTATTTCATCTTGTGGTGAATGAGAGTAACCTGGCTTGGCTGCTAAGTTTTTAGCTTGGAATGTGGTGCCATTTATTTTTCTGAGGATGCCAAGGGAGGAGATAGAGGCTGGTGGGGGTGAATGATGGGATGTCAAAGTGACCCTGGCTGTGAGATCCTAGAACTCAAGGAAGCAGCCTGGAATCTTCCAGCTGGGAGATGAAGTGAAGCTGTGGACCTGCATGAACTCCTCTGGGGAAATGAACAGAGCTAGACAATGGCTGCTGCGCCTTTTATTGCCTGCCTGGGAGCTGCTGCTAGTGACCACATTCTTGAGGCCAGTTGAGAGAAGAGGGTAGTTCATCATCCTGACATGTCACCAGTTCGAACCTGTGAGGAGTTGGCACACTTGGCTTCCTGCTTGCCCAGTATACTGATAAAGCCCCATAGACATCACCTTGAATATGAAAGTCACCTCAGCTGCTTGATTCTTGTTCTTTTTCTTTTCCTTTCCCTCCCTCCCTCTCTCCCTTCCTCCTTCCCTCATTTGTCCCCTCTCTCCCTCCCTCTTTTCTTTCCTCCATGACAGGGTCTTAATACCCCAGGCTCTGGCTGGCCTGGAACTCTCTATGTAGACCAGGCTAGCCTCAATCTCAGGCCTGCCTCTGTCCCCCAAGTGCTGGGATTAAAGGCGTGAGCCACTACAATCAGCAAACCTTTAACTTCTGATCCTCCTGCCTCAACCTCCTGAGTGTTGGGATTATAGGCATGTACCACTATGGCTGGTTTATGTAGTGCTTGGGATTGAACCAAGGGATTTGTGCATGCTGGGCCAGCACTCTACCAACTGAGCCACATCCTCAACGCTTCAGCTGCTGAATTCTGACATACAATATTTTAATTGTTTTGTTTGTTTAAGACACGGTCCTAAGTATCCCTGGCTGGCCTTAGAACTTATTATGTAGAGCAGGCTGGCCTCAAACTCACAGAGATCCACTTACCTCTGCCTCTGCCTCTGCTGGGATTAAAGGCTTGTGTCACCATGCCTTGCTCAGATGGCTTAATTTTTAACTATTTTCTGTCTTCGTTGCTCTCTTAGTCTCACTTTTCTGTGCTGTATTTTATTAACTCAAAGTAATCCCAGTCCCAGCTGCTGCCTCAAGGAATACACAGCTCAGAAAGAGACTAGATACTCAGAAGACAGGCAGACTCCTGTATCCAGCTTCCTCTGTGGATTTCACTTGCATCCATCTTATCAGCATGGTAGAGCATGCTTATAATTCTAGCATTTGGGAGGCTAAGGCAGGAGGAGCAGAGTTCAGGGCCAGCCTCAGCTACATAGTAAGTTTGAGGCCAGCATGGGCTATATGAGATCCTGTCTCAAAAAACTAACAAAAAAGCAAACCAAAACAAAGCAAACAAACAAAAAACCAAACAAAACATTTACATCCATCTTTAGTGACCTCCACTATAGGGCACATTCATAAAATGAAGCCACTTTCTGTAAGACACCCTCATTCTACACAACAGACCACTTTTCAAGTCAGTTTTACTGGTTTTCTGCTGGTTCATTAGTATGTTAGCACTACTGGGTTTTTTTCCCCCATTTTTCAGATGCGTAATGTATTAAAGGGGTTCTAATATCTCAATCAGGAAAAACATTTATTGCTCACAGGGCTTGAGATAGAGAATCTGTTCTTAACCCTGACTCTGCTAGGTGACTGGGGACAGATTACCATTATTTTTGAGCCTCAGTTTCCTTATCTATAATGTGAAAATGAGACGAACCCCACAGATCTTGACAAGGACTAAAAGCAACATGAGCAGGGTTTGGGAGCACACACCTGTGATCCCAGCACTCAGGTGATTGAGGCAAGAGAGTCTTGAGTTCAAGACCAGCCTGGCATACATAGTGAGTTCAAGGCCATATTGGCAAGACACTGTCTCAAGAAATAAATTATAAATAAAGCAATTCAGGGCTGAAGAGATGGCCCAGTGGTTAAGAACACTGACTGTTCTTGCAGAAGAACCGGGTTCGAATCCCAGCACCCACATGGCAGCTAACAACTGTCTGTAACTCCAGTTCCAGGGGATCTGACAGCCTCTTCTGTCCTCTGTGGGTATTGCATGGCATGGGTGCACCTTACCTACATGCAGGCACAACATGCATAAACATAAAAAAATAATAATAATAATAGGGGCTGGAGCGATGGCTCAGCGGTTAAGAACACTGACTATTCTTGCAGAAGAGCTGGGTTCAAATCCCAGTACCTACATGGCAGCTAACAACTGTCAGTAACTACTGTACCTGGGCCTCTACTGTCCTCCATAGGCATTGCACAACATGGGTGCACTTACCTACATCCAGGCAATACACTCATACGCATAAAATAAAAAACAATTATAAAATAGATTTATTTTAAAAAATTTTG